CCTAAGTCTTGGACTATTTTCCGTATCAATGGGCCTGAATTTGCACATCAATATCAGAAGGTGTGCCATCGATGCCCTATTCATGTCTCCGATGATGCAAGCACTAGTCTGTATCAATGGTCAGCTCGCATCGAAAAGGCGGTTGACCTTACTCTTCAATCACAGCACCGTCTTGATCCATTGGTCCATAGTCAACGCTTTTTGCCAAAGACTCACCGAGGTCGGTGCGCTACACCTCGTCTCATACACCTTTCCAGTCTCCGTTCTCCTAAGAAAGATTGGGCAGGTTGCTATGAGCCACCGGTGGAGGTTACTTCCCTTCGGAGCCGCCATAAAGTTCGACAAGTCCGCCGTTTGCGATGTCTTGAACAGCTTTATAAGAAATATGCCTTGGTTGACACTCCATCTGTCAACTGGCCATCCCTACCTCAATTTCATTCGCTGGTTCTCCAGTGGCAGGCCATTCGACTCGCTAATGGGTACGGCAATTCATGGACGCGGTGGTTGTTGCAATTTGAGGCCATTGATGCAGTCCCCACCGACTTGCCGACCTTCGATCAATTGTACACCGTCCGTCAAATCACACAATACGATGCTGACCTGTATTGCCAACAAGAAGCTAAGCTTCGCCGGCTCTCAAATAAATATGGTATGGAATTAGATGTTCAACATAAGTCGAGCTCTCGATTCTACAAACAACTCCGAGCACAAGAATCTAAAGTACTGCCAGGATTCCCTACCCAACTTCATGCACAAGCCACACTGCAACGTCTGTCAAAGGGTCCCATTCGTCTCATACTTCACCAACCGGTGACATTTCGACTGTATGCTGCAGCTCGTTTTGGTGATGCCACTCTTCGAATCGTTGAACAACAGGCGAATTCACTTACCTGCCAAGTTCTGGATGGAGTCCTTCCCACACATGGGGATATACAGCAAAACCTCTATGCATTCGAGCTCCCTGACATGGTCGGTCCATTTGAGCAGTACTGGTCCCAATTCTGGAACCGTGACACGCCTCAGGATGAACAGGATGACCAGGCATGGGACCCCCTGTTACACTCCCTCCTTAATCGGATCCCACCCCAGGCTCCGCTGGCCATTACCTGGACCGATCCGCAAATACTTACACGTACCATACAACGACTCAAGCCATTTAAAGCTGTGGGAATTGATGGTTGGCGTGCGGAAGAACTTCAAATTCTTCCCCCGGAAGCTATTCACGATTTAGCCAATATTTTTGCTCACATTTGGCCAAAGGGACTTTCGACACATCAAATGATTGCCCGGGTAATTCTGTTAGCCAAGAAGAACCCACCAACGTCCATCAACGATGGCCGTCCTATTACGATTTTAGGTTACCTGAGTCGTTTAACTTCCAAACTCATCGCGGATCAGCTGCTTAGTCACTGGACACAAACCTGGCCAAGTGCCATCTCAGGGGGTTTGCCATCTCGAGGAGTTCAAGACATCACATTTCTCCAGCAGTTTCATATCGAAAAAGCAAAAAACCGGTCCGCACCATGGCGGGGCTGTACGCTTGATTTAATCAAAGCCTTTAACCTTTTGCCGCGGCGAGTTATTTACCATCTCTTAATTTACCATGGAGCTCCACCAGATTCCATACGATTCTGGTTTCATAACCTCCGTAAAATGACTCGTCGATTACAAGTCCGCAATTGCGTTGGCCCCCCTCTCCATATGACCACGGGAGTTCCAGAGGGGGATAGTTTGTCAGTCTGCGCCATGCTTGTTGTCTCCTCGGCCTTCTATTGGACTATCCAATCACCTACGGTTTTCCCCTTTGCCTATGCAGACAACTGGTCTTATTTGACAACTAATCAGCGTGATAACATTCTTGCATTTCGCCGAGTCCAGGATCTCGTTCACGCTTTTCGCATGCAGATCGATTATGCCAAATCCTGGGCCTGGGGGGCTACTAAGGATGCACGACAAGACTGGACAGAGTTCTTAAATCAGGAATTCCCAGATAGTAATCAAGTCCCAATCCTCAACTCAACCAAAGATCTCGGTTGTATGACTCATTACACACGACACATTACATTGGGCCATTTGAAGACCAAAATTCACAGTGCGATTCAACGATGTCGTAGAATCCGTCGTTTCCCCACTGATATACTTCAAAAAGCCCGGTTCATTCAGACAGCCGTCTGGCCTCACGCTTTTTTCGGAGCAGAGACACAAGTCGTCGGAGACAGTCATTTTCGTACATTGCGCAGGGAGGCAGCGATGGCCCTGATTGGCCCCGAATCTCAGATCTCTAGCTGGCTTGCTGTTCATGTCTTTAGTCAGCAATTGCAAGACCCCCTCCTTTACGTGATTTCCACAGCTTTGGCTTTTTTGCGTCGTTTGTATCACATCCACCCTGCCTTGGCTTGCGAGTTTACTAACGCGGTCTTGTCGCACACGGGACCTGCCCTCGGCCCTGCGGGCGCTCTAGCCAGATACTTGAATATAGTTGGGTGGTCACTACAAGCAGATGGTTCTCTTTTTCTTGATGGGTATCTGTTCGTCTCTCTCCAACACGATTCTCTCGCCTCTATCCGTTCAGCCCTTCGCCAGGCATGGGCCTATCATATTCATCGCAACATTTGCCATCGGAAAGGGGCGACTGACCACCCTTTTGATTACACACTGTTGTCTCGCGTGATGCAGTCTTTGTCAGTTACCACCATTCGTCAAATAGCATATAATCTGACAGGAGGGTACCAAGTTGGTGCGGTCAAAGCCACGTGGACGTCGACTGTCAATGCCAACTGCCCATTTTGTGGTCAAGTTGAGACTCATTCCCACCAACAACTTGATTGCCCTGATTTTGCACATGTACGCCAACGACACCCTTTGGCAATTCGCTATCTTCAGGCCAACCCCGACAAGCTCTGGTTACCGTTGCCCCACAGCTATCCTGACCTGGAGGTCATTCGCCAACTCCTTCGACACCGTGGCACTGATACTGAACATACAACTATCCGACAGGAAGGTAATGTCCTTTACTTCTACACTGACGGATCAGCTGATACACCGATCCAGCCGGTCACACGTCGGGCAGCCTGGTCCATAGTCCAATTCCTCCCTGATATGAGCACCGTACCCTTCCTGACCATAAAAATTCAGCACGTTACCGGGGCCCAAACCATCGCCCGTGCCGAATTAGCTGCAGTGGCCTGGATTGTGCAACATGCAGCGATACACCAGTGGCACCAGCAAATTGTGATTACAACCGACTCGCAATATGTAATCAACGTGATCCACGACACTGTTAATCCTGCCCATCACCCTTCCTGGCACCGACTTGCCAACGCAGACCTTTTACGAATTATCGCACAATTCTGGCAACCTACCCAGTTCTTCTTGCGGAAGGTCCGATCGCATCAAGACATCACGTCCTTACCCCCTGGACCTCAGCGTGATGACGCACTGGGCAATTCATGGGCAGATCTAGCAGCTGTGCGGGCACGACAAACTGACCATCCGACTGTTGCGAATCTGTTCTCCACAGCCAATATCTGGCACCAAGATCAATACCGACAAACAAAGGCGATACTTTTGTACTTAGCTGATCTCAACTCATGCCATCTCCACCACAAACAACTCACATCAGCCGGTGGTCCCGGGTCGGCTCAGCATGAAGCCTCTTTGGACTGGGGCACCATTTTTCGTCAGCGTGAACATTACGTAGTTCCACCCCCGGTCCTTACTTTTGCCCCCCATATCCATCCAGCTTGGTTTACTGCATGCGTGTGGGGCAATCAATATGCTGACTTAGTTTTTCGCTTCTGTAAGTCACTTGTATGGCCGGACCCTTCGGGTGAGTATACTGATCCGCTCATCACACAGGGCATCACCTGGCATGAGCTCACTATTGCCTTTGTCGTTAATACCGGTGTCCAATTTCCTACGTGGATACATCTGCCTGAATCCTCAAGAGCACAACCTGTTCATTGGCAAGATCCCAGGGTTATGGCATTGCCCATCCCCAGACGGGCCCTTCGTGAACAAGCAGAGGCTTTTCGCACTATAGCCCTTTACTTGCAGGGTTACACGAGTACACCGTTGCTCCCCACATATTCTAAGACGGGCTCAATCAGTCTTACGCAGATTGGCTGGGGCCGGTCCTATACTGGAGGTTTCGCGTTACGTCCTCAAATGCCTAATGCTGGGGCTGTACAACGCACACTGATCCAATATGCTGCTGATCTGCACTGTAAACCTCCTTATCATCCAGATGGTCTGATTCCGATGCGATTTCTCGTCCCGTCTATTCCAGTTGTTGACGCAATATCACTCACCTTTCACCAACGCTTTCTTTATCGTCGTAATTTGCGTAAATGCTGGAATCGTAACGGTGATTTAGATGCCGTATCCATCCCTGCCGATCCGAATTAGGAATTCACAGATTCAAGCCCTTCGTGCTATGCGGACATTCGGTCTCACGTAGTTAGACTTGTTTCATGTGTGCATTACACAATTTTGTTCATATCTTTCCCATCGATATTCTCACCAAACTCCTCGACACCCACCAATACGGTGTAGGGTCTGAGGACGCGCGCAGACAGTGACCGCAACTTGTGTGAGTAGTAAGGCCAGGAGCCCCTAGTAGTTGCGATCCAGATTTTAACCCAAACGAGTGCTTGTCTCTCCACATGATTTTAACGCACTTTAGCGTATATCAGTTACATTACAGAACTGAGACCTGCATCCACAAGCCCCCACAGGCTTTCCACAGGCGTTGAAACAGAGTTGGATGTCAAGATGTTCTCACATGCTTCAGGCGACGTGAACCCCGGTGCTTCGAGATGTTTGTATCCCAAAGACTCGGCGAAAACTAATCGTTTGGGTGAGGTCCATAACAATACCCTGGTCTTCACACCACATTGTGGATACATGGCCTAATCTTTAGAATCAGTATCAAAGGATCCTCCGTTTTTCATCCCACGGGTTGAGCCTCTTCACTAGTTCAAAGGACCACAACAGTCGAATCTGAATGGAGTCGTGACACCTTAAGCCTTAATCAAACAAACTCCAATTTCAGATCTTCCACAGTACACACTTCCTCTGGCTCGTATCTCTTATAAATCCTGTCCCGCCACGTTTATCCGCCTGCCAAAGGGAGAACAACACCGGCCTGGCTGGCAGTGCGGCCAGCGCACGAAGGCCCCATCTCTCCCGGAAATGCGGCACCATGATTTCAATCTTCCTACAAGTAGCAATCAAACATCAAACATCCAATATCATCCAATTCCACACTTGCTCAAGAAGAACCAAAACCCGAGACAAACTCGATCACACTCGGCAGGCAAGCAGGCTACTCACTCCACAATTGGTACGCTTATGCACTGGGCTGTCTTGCGTGGGATCCTTTTTCGCCCGTACCTGGTAGGCGACAAGCGCAGTCGTCACCTCAGAGACATGTGCAGGTAGACAGATTTCAAGAGTCTGGACTTTGCACCCCCGCAGAAGTGAATCAGGAGAAGCAGCAGCATGCACACCGGACAAATCACTGCAACATCGCTGGGCACCGCCATTTAGCTATATCATATATCTCCTGACCACTGATGCAAGCCTGCTGACATAGCATCAAACAGTGTCAGGGCCAAAATTGAAAAATGTTGAAAGGCTCAGGAATCCTGAAGGTAGGCTGGTAGACTTTCAACGAAACAAACCGGACAAGTACACAAAAGTCTACTCAATTCATTTCAATTCATTGAAGTGAACCACGAATCCTCCAAAGGACTTTCAAAGGACCGGACCTGTCGCTATTAGGTTGGAGGCCATCGCTATTGTACAGGAACAAAGAAAAAGACAAGGAAGAAAGGTCTAATATAGAGGTCCAACCGAGGACTCCACAGTGTAGGCGGCCACTCCACGGACCACTCCATCCGAGAGCATCGAACGAAACGCCAAAAGGAACTCCTCGAAAGCCGACTGGATTCACAGAATGCATGAATGTCTGATGTCTGTTGGGGGTTTTCCTACATTTGCCCGCCTCACTCAAGGATAACAGAACACTTGGATTAGATTCCCGCAAATAATTGGGAAAGAACATCCATGGGAATCTGATGGAAACAATTCTACCACACTGCAATCTGGATTGTGCGTGATACCATTAAGCACCCAGAAAGAGATGGACTGGAGATAAGAAACTAACGAGAGGGTATGGTCATAATCGAACCTGGTGGACTTTTCCAAGAACGAGGTCAATGCATATATATAACGCCGCCAAACTTTGGGCCTGCTTACAGATTCTAGCCTAAATCAAGCCAAGTTAAAGCCATACTACCGGGACACATGTTTGAGGTGCTAGCCTTCACATTTGCGTGGTAACAGAAGCCCCAAGTTCCAGACCTTGTCAAACATGTTGAGTCATTGAGTGGAGCTCTGTCTGTGGATCCATCCCAACGTGATCCAACGTGCACCAAAGGTGGTCTACAGCGCTGGCCAGGAGTTTGTAATATAATATAGTTCGTGCAGGTGCTCTACTTCCTTTCAGACTTAGAATATCTAAAACCATTGACCTTCCGTTGCCTTCGGTCTCCCCGCCCACCACTTCCATGCGCACAGTCTCCTGGGCCTCGGCAGTCTCACAGTGGCGCACCGTAGAGTCCTCCAAGGAGTGAGCAGCAGAGCGTAGCAACCCAAATCCCAGTGGCTCACAAGGATGGCAAGAACAATTTGCATGTGTTTTGTCTTCAAACATAGTATCGGTCATGCTACCGCGAACAAACAGTACTTTCTGTAAACAACAGTCTCTTCCTAGTGGAACAACGGCGGGTCAAAGTAAAGGGTCCAATTTGCCCAGCAACTATCGGACCGGTCGGTTATCCTCTTTAAGCTAATATTTTTGAAGAGTTTCCTGATGTGAACATTCACAGCATGCGGTGGCCGATGATCTCTGCATGAACACCTCCTCTTGGCCCGGCTGAGGTTCTTCGTTCACGGCAAGCTCCCACTCCCCGCAAGAATCTTTTGCTAGACGACCAACATCAAACAATCAGGCATTATTGATAATCTTTTCCTGGACAAACACACACACACACAGCATTCATCAGCATACCCGAATCCATTCACACGGACACTGGTCTCCTCTTGCTTGGTACAACCGGGAGCTGCAAAAAGGGGATTTGCAATGGCCACGTAGAGCTGGGGTGTCCTGACCAAAAATTCAAACTTGAAGAGCTCGCAGCGCATCACCAGAGAGCTAGGATAACGGTTGGAATCGTGCCCAGGCCGATAAAAAACCATCATATCTATATTCAATGTCACACATAGTACATGAAAAACTTTATTTGTTGGCTTTTGTTGTTTGTATACACTTGTGATGCAATTTGGTTTGGGCAAAGCATCTTGCCGAGATCCACCATGGTCCAACGATGTCCAACGTGTGTGTAATCTTTCTCAAGGTCACATGTCACATATCCTGTGTTCTTATGTTTATATGTTTCTTGAGTTTGGAGAAAAAGGGGTGGAAAGAAGTGGAAGAAGAGTGAAGCAAAGAAAAAAGCGGATGCCCGTCCACAGTTTGGCACAGTGGTGGAGGCTGCCATGTGTGTGTGTGTGTGTTTGTGTGCTATGAGGTCGTTATGCGGGGCTACTATTCCATTGTGAAAGAGACCGCAGAGGCTATCTACTTTTTAAAGGTGCCACGGAGGCGGTGTCCGTGTGTGAGCAACCCATGGACTCACTGGGAGCCTGTTGGCGTCTGTTGATACTTAGCAGGGGGGCAGAGCTCTCGGATACTACTCTGTCCAATGCACCTGCGTTTTACTCTACAGAGCGATTCTTATGTCTCGCTCATAAGTTCGTTGGAAGACTTGTCTGTCGGTTCTCTTTCCTTGCACCACTGCTATGAGCGATTAGAACAGGAGGCTTTCACAATGGGCGCTTCCCACACTGACAAACATGGTGCGCAATTTAATTTTTACACATGGCAGAATGGAACATTTTTTGAATGAGAGACAGGCGGGTTTTGCTGAATATCTCCTAGAATGAACCAAACCGCTGTCAACTACCGGAGCATATTTGGATATGATATGGTGTCGATGTTGTACAATTCAAAAGTCAGTCGGGATAATGTACCTTTTCCTATTCTTTGTGTACGTTCAAGAAACACAAGCACATGCTGGCCTCGCCTCTCAAAAAGCAATGTTAGTAATTGGTAGCGGTTATTGCACGTTCCGGCAGACCACCATGGCAGCCAGCTCTATCAAGTTGGTAGCTATGGCTTCTACACACACCACACACACACACAATTGGGAAAAAACAAGTTTTTCGACTTGGTTGCCATCTGCCACACGCAAACCTAGATACAGGGCCTGAGAAACCAGGTGTGCAAGGATGTTGCAACTGCACAATTCCAATCTCTTAGTGAAAAGTGACCGATGCAAATACATATTTCCAATTGTTTACTGACACATCCGTTTCTTGTGCATAGTTCCAATCTTTCACTGAAAATTGACTGATGCAAGTGCAAGTTTCCAATCTGTGAGCGAGACAAATGAATCTCTCTAGTAGAGGTAGTTCCAAACTGCGAGCGAGACAGATGAATCCCTCTAAGGTAGGTAGGCAAGAATAGACTTAATGCTCCTGTTGTAGGATAGGTAAATTAGGCACACTGCATGGTAGTGCTTGGTTTCCTCTTCAAGTATATACATATTTTTTGTACATAAATAAGCTGATGGGTCAACAAGCGCCGCGCTGTAAAATGCTACAACTCAAATACGCTGTTCACTTGTGGTTACGAGTTGCGCAACAATCCCTAACTCGCATCAAATTACAGTATATAATTGGTCCTGAGTCCTGTTTGAAACCGCACACTTGTAAAACACCACAACATTCTGGTAGGATGTTACCAACACAAGAAGGGCCACCTAGGAAACCCACCCGAGTGAACCAGTTATCTATCCGATAACTTGTTGCCCAAGGCACTCAGGGAAAAACTCGTGGAGCAAAACGCATAGGACCTCAAACAAAGTCTCAAGCACAACTGCTGCCGAGTCGACGACGATGACCAAATTGCGTCTTGACAACTCATGGGAGCAATTCTTGTGACCAGCAATTATCTCACCAAGACAGAATGTTGGTCGTAGAAATAGAATGCTAAATAAAATTTCAATCATGGGCAACGTCTGAAGAGGGCTTCTGACAGAAGGTCAGTGGGAAATTCTGAATTGTAACATTCCAACTTGTGTGCCAAGTACCTGTCTTCAATACGGTTTAACTCCGTCAATAAGCTTGAAAGCTCCTCCAAAGAAGAACTCGAACACTTGAATGCCTAGGCAGAATACAAGCAGGGATATGACCTGAGCATCCAGACCGTCGGGAAAGTGCAAACGATCAACTCCGCCTGCCGAACTGGTTCCAGCCTGCAGAAACATCTAGTAACAGCTGATTCCAGCTGATGGAAAACGAACATAGACCGATCAGCCAAATGCAGACATCAGCAGTTACAAAGTCTTCCAAAGTCCACCGAGTACTGGGTGTACAGAGTGTCCAGTCTTCAATGTGTGGCACCTTCGTGGGGCCCAACGTAGGGCTGCACGGGCTTCGTCCATGGCATAGGACTCACCTTAGGACTACTGCTCCTGACGTCTTGAGGAAAGAATGTGGAGAACTAACATCTGACCTACATCTTGAGCTCTTCGACAAATCAAAAGGTCGACTAATACAACTTGTACCTCCCGGCTAGCCCGACTAATTCTTCCAGGCTCTCTTCGACTAACTATTGGATTTCTCTAGCTGGCTTTAGGTTGCAAGCAGGTGTGTACGAGTTCATGGTGTGGTAGCGAGAGCGTGTGCGGAACCTCCCAGTCTCATCGTCAGAGTCTGGTGGCACTGTTTCTGAACCTTTGGGCTATGAACAAGATCAAACATCTAACAAGTCTTTGTTTGACCTAAGGGTTTATCTGCCCCCCAAATCGGAACCTGCATTCTAAAAATGGCTCAGGAAGGCCTCTCCACAATCTGCGTCTAGCGACAAGCATCCGCTCATAGATCTGCCACATTCCGGAAAAAACACATGCCATTCCTCAACTCACATTAATTAAGTTTTGAATTGACACTAGAGCCAAACTGCAGTGTGAGCGATGGCAGAGTGGTAGTTCATTCTCACATATATGCAGTACTGACCTCAAGAAACCTCCGACCAAACCGAACCAATGCCCATGTCGCACGACACACACACAACGACTCCGGTCCAAGCGTCGTTCCTCGAATTTTGCCACGTCCACTGCACCAGCCACAAACTCCTTGGAGCAGTGAGGTTCCTAGACTGGTGGGGTGGAGAATGTCCAACATCCAAATCTTTCATAGTCCAGCGTAGAAACATGTCTCTCCGGAAAACCGCTCCGCAGTCGCTACGTGGCCCCACCGCTAAAGAATGTGGTTCCCAAGATGTACAACTATTGATCTCAATAGGACAGCCGCTGGCATGATGACATCCACCAAGGACCATTCAACAGGGAGAACCCAGCATTCCACAGTGCAAACCAAATCATTTCACTACTGTATAAGTATAAGCTTAGTGCTTCATCGAACCCCCTAAGGTTGATGCGACTACTACTTTTTCCCATAAAACATCACAGGACACGCCACAAATCCTGGAAGAACAACACCTTCCCCCTGCCCTCTTCTGCTTCTTTCTGTTTTTTTTTCCCGAGCGTCCGCCAGGGCGTCGGCGGCATCCTCTGCCGCACTGCAAATGCCAAGGAGCTCACAGCGCATGGCGCAGTGGTGTTCGCTCCTGCCAAGCGCTTGGCGCGCGCAGTGGGTCGTGGCTGGAGACTCCAGACTGCAGAGTCTGGAGATTCTGCTACCCCCCCCTTACCTCTGTCCCAAAATACCGGGGCTTTTTGCAAGGACTCCTGGTCAGAAAGCTAGATGGACATGGACAAACATGCTTGTTGGTTAGCTTTTAGATGTAAAGACCCAATACATCCCAATACTATTTGGTGTACACACTACTGCACAACATATGTATCTGTATATAATACAGTACTGGAATATGGAGACTAGACGTTGCTGTGAATCTCCCAGACTGAAACCTGGCCTCTACAATTTGCCTCTGCTTCCATGTCGTCCAAGTCCCGATCCCCGTGCTTCCATCACCATGAACTTCAGATACAGTTCATTGTTCGCCCATCTCAACCCTTTGGAGACTGTCTGTGAGCTTCAAAGAGCGCAGTTGTTTCGTTGCCCTTTGCTCCTACTAGCGTTCTTGTTCCTGGTAGTACGACCAGGAGCCCCTAGTAGCGTTCTTGCTCCTAGTAGCGATGCCCTTTGCTCCTAGTTTAGCCATGCTTAGCCAATTGCATCTAATCGTGGCTTGCAACTTGCAGCCATTCCCATGAGCCTCACACTCCCTCGCTCCCGGAGTGCGACGGGCAAGGATGTCCGGCATACTGGATGTTGAAGGGTGCTCCTGCTTGGAGTCTCCGTGGATGTTTCACAGCGGGATATTCTCTCCATGTATGTCCATAGTAGCAACTGACGCTGTATTTGGACTATGACTTTTCCTGAAGAAATGCACAGCAAGGGCCATATATTCCAGTGGCATGTCCTCAAAATGTCAAAGACCAACAGCCTGAGTTCACAAGCTAATTACTTTCCAGGCGAACACAACTCTTTCATACATACGAAGTGTGTCTACCACCTTCGTCGCCTTTGCTGTCAATTCCCTCTCACGTCGCGTGGCGCCGCGTCTCGTCCTCCAGCTCCTCCCCGGCCCCATGACTCCGTGATGGCGTCCCTGGCGCGACTGCATTTGAAATGGAAGAGAGCGGATCCATGAGGAAACATTCTGCTCGACTAGGCGAAACGTCAGAGATCCCGTTTTTGAGCGACTCTTCGGTCTGGAATTCCTTCAAACCATCCTCACCATCCAACATACTCAACTGAAGCAAACAAAGATTGAGCGAAAAGCAAATCCGAGAGTTTGATCATCACATACACACGCTGGTGCAGGGAGTTCAGTGGAATCAATCCACAGTGCGTGCGTTCCTTCTTCAGATCTATTGCCTCCTCTTTATTAATGCGAATGGATCATGGAAGCCTTGAAAGCCTTGGGCCATCTCAGCTTTCAAAACTCATTGAATGACTGAAATACGACCATCTGTTTAATGACTTGTTCACATTGGTGGACTCATGACTCAGCTACTGTCATCTAAGCATGTCCCAACGCCGCAGCCTCAAGGCCGTGACCACCTGGTGTGTGCAGCAACGGTCTCCTAATTCTGTGGGTCCCTGGGATAAGACAAGTCTTGGTGACATGGAAGACTTGAGCACATTCAAGACGCTTGCAAGGCTTATCCAAATTCTGCACCGAAACCCATTTGGATCCATTTGGGATGATAAGCAAAGCAGGCACAGGCGAAAAAACCAACACATTCTCTGCCTACTACTACATGACGGAGTTTTTGCGATTTGACACTATTGGAGGTATTGTGGTTTTCTTCCAATGCCCAAAACATGAGACTACAGGGCCGTGATATCGGTCCAAGGTCTAGACAAGAAACTGAATAGAGAAACCAAAGTACCTAAACACAGCTATCCACATCCATCATCAACATAAGAACAATACTCATCACCATCGTCATAATCAATCATGATTGGTAAAACACACACACATATATATATATAATTAACGTAACACTGACTAAACAATCGTTTGTTTCCTATCCCTAGTTGATGCGATGGACAACACAATCAACACATCCCCGTGTGCCTCCAAGGTCGAAGTCGTGTGAAGTCCAACGGCCACGACGTTGGATGGCCACGAGGCCTCCAAAGGCGGTGCTGGAGGAAGCAATGCCCGCTCCTCGCTACGGTCGAGACGACAGTCGAGAGGTCTCGAGACGTCTCGACCCGATGTGAAGCTCCCGGTGGCTCCGGTGAGTCATGTTGATCCACTCTGGTGAGTGGAACTTGCTGGAGGATGCGATGAACTTGCTTCATTTCCAACATCATGACAAAGAATGACAAACCACTTCTGCAGGATGCGATCAAGGCTCACCCACAGGGTTGATTTGGGTAGAAACATATGGTGAACATTGGTGAACTGTGATACTCCGGATGAGTCCAGGGCCAATCACTTCATGAAACGACCTCATCTTCCCGTGCCCAAAATGGGTGTGTTTTTCACACTGCCGGGATGCTTGCATGTGGTGTAAGGGATGCTTGTGGATCTTGTGGATGGTATGGGTATGCCCTAAGTCGAACACCCCACCCTCCGATCATTGAGGCACCCTTAAAACAAACACACACTTGGAAGTGGCTTCATGCATCTTCATGCAACTTCGATACTTGCATTTGCTTGGGAATTCAACGCATTTTAGGAGAATGCGAAAGGAACCAAGTGTGACTCGTCTTCTTGGACTCGACAGTATGACTGACCGCTAACCCGCTAACTGACATTATCTTGTCTTCTTGACTGATCTTTCCCCTTGTTTCAATAGACTGATCAGCTCCTTGCCCGAGCCAAGTGTACTTTTGGTGCCTCCATATCCGGCCGGCTGCAGCCCAGGCGGAGCCAGCAGGGCATCTCAAAACGAAGGTTTCGCACCTGCCATTGTCAGGAGGTTGGCTTTGTCAAGCAGGTCTAAGTTAGAGAAGTTCTGGGAGTGTTCAACATGCGACAAACACATTGTCATCTCACGTCATCTGATCTGATGTGATCTTATGTCCTTCTTGCATTCGTTTGACAACTGACTACTGGATTCCTATGCTTTCATCATCTCCTCACCAAATGAATTCCAGAACCCTTTCAATATCTTCCAATAATGTCATATCAATCTAATTCCATCTTCTTTTCTTTATGATCCCAACACCTTTCCAAGTTCCGAGTTTGAAACCTGTTGGAAGTCCTCGAGCTCCAGCAAGGCCACCACGTCCAGCGAGCGCACCGGCCACCACGAGGATTCCAGGAAGTCGTTCACCTCACAACCCGCGACGGTCTCAGACCGGTCCCGGTTGTGGGGCTGGCAACAAGCAAAAGGTCGCCATTTACTGCGTGAAGTGTCCTCAAGTCTCAAATAGTCTCACGGATTCCCAAAAGACTGGAGATGCCATGAACACGCCGAAACGCCATGGACATGCGATAGACAAAAAGAAGTCATTCCAATGGATGAACCACTGAAACCACTGCTTCAAAGACATGGAGAGTTTCCTACTCCAAGAAAAGGTGAGAAGAGTGTTGTTCAGGCACACCCTAGAACCCCGATGAAATCTCCCTGACGAAACCTCCCGCGCCTGCTTTTTCGCCAGGATCATCCTCAAAGAAGGATCAGGATATGTCAGGATCATTTGTGTTGTATCATGTTGTATTTAGTTTTGATGTGTTTTGATGATGGTATCATATTTGGTGTCTCTTGCCAATGGTATTTTTCAAGGTCTCCCATCGAACTGAACGGTGAACAACATATCACGCTCTTGTAACAGCTCAACCATACTTCACGGCTAAAACCCAACCCGTGTTTTCAGGAACAAAGTTGGCAACAGCCCCCGACTACACCCCATGCACTCCCATCAAGCATCCAGGAGAAGCCAACTCAATGGATGAGAAACGCGTACGATACAATCATACATAGCCACATAGCTGAAACAACATCTACGATCTTCCAGATTCACATGACATGACCACACCAATCAAACCAGCTGAAAGCGCCTGAAAGCTGAAACCGCCGAAAGCAAACAAACAGACAGATCACAGATCTTCTATCCGAATCATGTCATCAAATCACCGAGTTCTTAATCATGGAGCCCCAGCTTCCGCATGCTTCCACACCAAGCATCAAAGATCGGGCCAAGAGATTCTTCGCTGTCGAGGGGATTGGATCATCTCCCGCACCCCTGGAACATCGGATCTTCGACGGATTTTTTCGTCTGGAAGGAGGGTGGCTGAAAGACAGATTTACAGTATAGCTACCCCGACCCCAATCCTGTGAGGAGGCAAATTGACCCTGGTTTTGTCACCTTGTTTTCTCTTTTTTTTCTCGCTATTGACAAAATAGCCTAGTAGATCCTAGTAGCACATTGCTGGCAAGGCTGCCTCAATCTGTTGCGAACAGCTCCTGTAGTTGGGATGTCTCAGCCTCATCCAAACAACTTCTTGCTGTTAAGTAATGTTGACTTGGTATGACTTGGTCACATTTACTCAGTGAGATTGACTCGGTCTTTGGACATCTGCATCCAGCACATGTGAAATTTGTGTTCTACGACGCAATCCATGGGTTCGTTGTGTCGGACTGGTTTGCTGAGAACTGACAGGCATACCCTGAGTGATCCACAAACCTCCACGCTTATCCCTCACTTGTCCCTTGATTGGCCGTGCATCCTTCCTTACTGAGAACTTGTTTCTGAAATCAGATGTGCCTTGTACAATCTCGCACAATCCGAACCAACCCAGCTGTTGCATTCTTTTGCTTGTTATGAGTCAGTAAACACATTGTTTGTGCGAAAGCCAGATTCTCACACAACATAGAGTTGCTGAGCAAAGTCTTGTCCATCACGAGGATCTAGGTGGATTTGTGTGGACCACTATCACTAGCACGATTGAAGCTTTGCAAGCGGCTGCTTTCGATACCCAATTTCCCCACCTGGCCAGGTGATAGGCGACCACAGTATAAGCAGTGACCGCTCCAAACAAGCAAAAGCCACCTGGCAAGACCCAGGAAATAGTCTGAAGCAAAACTGGAGATGCCAACTGAATCTAGAATCATTACATAGAAATACATAGAATGATATTGTAGAAATATTGGAAAGCAAGTGCTATAAACCAGCAATTTCTCACCTGGCCCATGTCTGGGCATGTTTTCGGTACCATCGTGCGCTCTTTGCGGGATCCCTGCCTCGCACGCTTTGGAAAGGGAAGGGATTGATTCAGTTTTGGGAGGGGCCGAACCAATTTCTAGGGCGGCAAGGCTTTGACATACATATAAATCAGCTTGCCCTCAAGCAATCAAACATGCAAGTTGAACCTGACAAGTGCAAGAAACCTCATCTTCTAGTGGATCTTCCAATTCCTTTCCTCCCTTTGTAAAGATATAAAGCAATGCCCACTCTTCGGCCACTGCAGCTGTGGTCACCAAGCAATCGTTCATCCACACACCTCCTCCCCACAACCCACCATGGGACCGCACCCAGCTGCTCAGTGGTGAGCTCGCCCCGCAAACGGCTGCTGAAGGCGGAGACCACCTCGGCCCAGTCCACCTCCTGAGATCGGAGACGGGGCCCCTGTTACTACTAGCGTGGCACTTGTTTCTACTAGCTTCTTGTTACTACTAGTAAGGCACTTGTTACTACTAGCGTGGCACTTGTTCCTAGTAGCTTCTTGTTACTAGTAGTAAGGCCATGAGCCCCTAGTAGCGTCCTTGCTCCTAGTAGCGATGCCCTTTGTTGCTAGTAGCTTCTTGTTACTAGTAGCGTCCTTGTTACTACTAGTAAGGCACTTGTTACTAGAAGCGATGCACTTGTTTCTAGTAGCTTCTTGTTTCTAATAGCAATAGCGATGGCCTCCAACCTAAGAGCGGAGAGACTGAAGATTCATCAGTTGGCAGGCTTGATAAGGCAAAACCCTGAAGTCTTCGTCAGCTTTGACCCATTCTTTCTGTGGAGCCACTCGGTTCCTTTGATATCCGTTATATGCACCAGTAGCAGCAGCACCTTTTACGCAATCACCAAGGTATCTGCTTGCCTGCGTCTTCGTCGCCTTTGTCCTCGCCTTCTTGAGTACTTCTTCACTTCTTTCCCCCTGTCTTTCTCTCTCTGCCTTGCCCTTTACTCCACTGCCCTACACAGTAATATCGGGATGTCCCTCTGCAGGTCTAAAGCTCGTCCATTCATGAAAAACTGTCATGACTATGGACTCTAGGCGCATATGAAAGTTCTGTACAGATCTTTATAGTATTATATTTTTGTGGTAGCCTGCATTGCGTGGAATACAATTTCCACATGTGTGGTCCTCAACATGCCTGGGTTGATTCAGACTGGTCAGTCCTCCAGTGTGTCGACCAGGTCCGCAGCCTAGCATCAATGGAGATGAACTCAGCCAAAGCATCCAACGACTAAATGAATGTGAGATGAATCAAACATAATCAAACACTCACATTCTCTCTTCTTTGGTCAATTCAAATTCTCTTTGAACTCCTGAATCTCTCGACTTCTTGGGACTTTAGAGTTCTTCCGATGCTTTCGAGGGTTCACAGAAACTCCAGCAGCTCCGTTCCAGCCTCGTTCAGCTGTGCCTCCGACAGCGGCGTCTCCGGCGTCACGGATGCCGGGAGCAGTGCCTACGACTCGACGACTCGACGACCGGACGGAGGAGCGGCTGGCGTGATTTGATCCGTTTGAGAATCCGATGAGATTCCGTTTTAGAACGCCGTGAAACAGCACCAGGGCTCTATAGCTGTGTAGCCGTGTAGCCTCTTTCACTAAAAACTGGTGATTTTTGAAGAGCAGGGCATGGTGTTTCAGTACCGGCAATCCATCGTTGAAGTTTGGAAGAGTGTTGAAGAACTCCTCAGAAGGCCAAAAGTGAAGTCCTCACTTCCAGCAGTTTGAATCGGACATGACTGACGTGTTGGGACTTCCTGCTTCACTGAACTGACTCTACAATGACTTTCAAAGGCCCGCACGAGATGACCTGTAGAGGCTGGTTCAAAAGCAGACTGCACTTCAGAATCCACAAAGTTGTAGGCTAGTTGACTCAGTTGACAGGACTTGTAGCCTCGCTTTGGCCGCTTGTGGATGCGCAAGAAGCACGCGATTCCATGCTTTCCACAGGATTAAACAACTTCCTTCGGATCTTCTGGCGAAGCTTTCTGAGTCTCCTCAGTCCCATTCCGACGCGTCCCCTTTTCGCCTGGAAGGAGCTCCAGCGAGGCTCGAAGTGCTCCCCCGAGCAGTCGAGGAAGTCCAAGGCCTCGAGGGGCCCGGTCAAAGGATCGAGAGATGTGGTGCTGAAAGGATACTAGTAAGGCACTTGTTTCTAGTAGCTTCTTGTTACTACTAGTAAGGCACCTGTGTAGCGATGCACTTGTTCCTAGTAGTAACAAAGTCAAAGGATTGTTGAGTGAAAACATGTTCAAACGACTCAACCAGGGCTTTGATCAAGCTCAGAATTGGAGCCATGACAGTTTGGATGCTTCGAGGGGTTCACTATCTCTAGCAAGTTTGGAGGGGACGAACATATGGATTCGTCAGCCGGGCTGGCAGGCCTTCGGTACCACCTTGAGTACATGAATGTGAGCTTGGAATCTCAGAAAGTCAGTGAAGAGGAAAACGCTTGTTTTGGGCCACCGAGGCCTTTTGGAACATGTTGCATCCCTCATTGAAAGGGTTGCTGCGGGTTGGCCTTTATGCCGGTGCACACTCTGCCGACTCCGCCGGGCTCGATCCCTGCCGAATGCAGCCAAAGATGCGAAACATGGGCGGATGATTGTTAAGCATCGCAGGAGGTGCAAGAGCCATGTCATCATATGTCATTCCCCAAGCGCCGTGGGCGCTACCAAAGTTTAAAAGGCTATGGTTTTTGATTGTTTTTGCTTTGGAAGCTGGATAATGAATCAAGCCAACATCCAAATCATCCAATCATCCAATCACACCAGGTGACTTCGATTTCACCACATATCTCGTGTTGGATTGCCGCCCAGCGATTAGATCTTGAGGGCACCTGATGGTGGAGTACAGAGCCTTCCTAACCATCTCTGAAAGAATCGGTGCTGCGTTGTAAGCATAGACTATAACTACTCCGAATGTATTCTGTTTTGCCGGCCCAAGTGACTGTCGGCGACAGTGCGAACAAACCGAGCCAGAATCCAGCGAAAGCTGAAAGCCTTTCAGAAAACACACTTTCCAAACATTTCAGACAAAGCCCTCCGGGATACTTATAACTTATGACCAGATCAATTGCATGTAGTTTTGCCTTCCATCTTCTTGTAGGCCTTCTGCCACCTCAGCTGCTGGTTCCTCGCTGTGCCAAAGCTCCCTAATTGCTGGTATGAACTGCCACCTTAAGACACAATGCCTGGCTGTGATCACTTGATTGCTGAGATGCAAAAGTGGCCTATCGTATCTGAGGTTTCATTGAGGGTCAATTTTTGTTGGTTGTGGGAACAGTCCTCTCTCCTCGATCTTCAACAGCCCAAGACTTCTGACCCAGAGTCCAGTGCCGCAAGTGCCGCCCCTGAATGATTGACAAAGGAGGATCTTTGACTATGGAATTGCTGGTGGTACCCACATCAAAAAGGCAAACCATCAAAACTGGTAAACTGGTAAACACACATTACATTTGGAGGGCTAAACATCGGCTGCCTCACTCTTTCTCGATGTCGGCTCATTCTTCTCTCACCGGCTGTACCGCAAGAAGGAGCTTCCACTCAACCAGGTTTCTGTATACAGTATACATCAGTATACATCCGTAGATGCGTCAGTGCTGCAAGCACGACTTCTGGGGATTCTCCCACTGGTCAACACTCTGGCGTCGCTCAAATCTGATCACCAACAAACTAGATGGTAAAAGCTTGCCCTTCGCTTCAGCAAGTGGCCAGAAGGAAACCCTTGCAGGTGATCGACCTCTTCCACTCCCCAAGTGCATCAAACATCCGATGTCAGAATCTCAAGAATGTCATTTTCTTTCTATCTCTTTCTCATGAAGAGCATTGCCAGTCTTTTTCGTGCAAGTTGTCGCAATGTCCCTTGCTCTTGAATTCATCATCGAGCTGAAGATCACAAAGTCCCTGAAGTCAGGCTTTGTCTATCCTTCTCCAAACAAGGAAATTCAGGAAGCAACTGGCCTGTTCCGCACAAAAGAAGGATCCATGGGCATACCGGTATATCCTCCCAAAAGCTTTTAGAAGTGCAGGAAGGCATTCAAACATTCACCACCATTCATTTCATTTTCTCTGAGTTTCTGCTTTGCAAAGCAGGGACGAGGAAGTTGCAAATCATTGCAAATCATTCACCATGGGCTTCCAAGCTTCAAAAGGACAAAACAAATCCAAAAAAGGCCTTGATAGCCAATCTATAACTATTTTGCTTTCCGTTCGCCAAGCCATGTGATGTCGTTGCTCTGACTTCTGAATCACACTAGTAGACACCAGGAAGGATGAGAAAAGTGTCTGGAACGCCTCCAAAAGGGACCCCCCTCAACTGAATCTCTTTCCTCTTCCCGACTTAGGTGTGCGTTGAATGATTTTGGACACCTCAGGAGTTCGTCCACCAATTTCTCGTGAATTCTGTAGCCAAACACATCGCTGCCTCCGGGACTCGTGAATCCTCAAGTTTCATCCACCCTGCAATTCTCTTCCAAATCACTGGAGGTATCCAGCAAAATCACGTCGTAACCAGCAACTGCGATGCCGAATGCAGGAAAACTCCTGGCAAAGTTGTGACAAATGTAGGATTAACAGGGGGAAATCCCTGCCACAGGTGCATCTGTGCATCACTTTTTCTGGAACGACTAATCAAATGGAATCACCAACCGACAAAGCTAGAGGTAGTGGCATTTGACATAGTTGGTAAGACCTTGGGGGAGAATGCCCCGCACACCAGGATGTCAATTGAGAGAAATCTCTAGTGTACAAAATGCAATCTATTCGGGGGTGTTGGGTTCATCCTGGCTCATCCTAATTCTCGCACACCCCAGTCCTCAGCCTCAGCTATCCGAATCACGCCGTCTCTTTCGGTCTGGCGTGCGGCAAGGCTATCATTGATTCCAATACTCACCAATGTTTTATGTTGCTTCCAACACACTCACTCTACAAGGTGGGATCTGCCCCCAAAGCATGCGGCCCACGTCTCATATGCTTGCGATTCCAGGCCTCGATCCAAGTCCAAGGTCAACATACGGCCCTGGGCTGCAGAACTTCGGTCTATGAAAATGCTTGGAATTTAGTGCAGAGCGAATCAAACATGGCTTGATTTGATGCAACAGGTGGGTGAAAGCATTGACAGTCCCTGACCCACAACCAATAACAAATACTGCACAAGCATCCTATGGCTACTCATTCCGATATCGCGGCCGGTGCCTCGAAATGACTTGTTCGTCTTGTTTGGTCACCATCTTTTTGCTAGAACCCCACTTAAGTGTGATGATGAGATGGACAAAGTTTCCAAATCCACTTTACACAACTGGAGCCCAACAAGAGCATGTTAGAGATGAGCTGTTCCTATCCACGCCATGTGTCGAGCTAAATGTGGCTTTAACACGTTGTTGGCGCGACGGTACCGCCAATGATTTTGATCCGTTGACCCACCGTCCAGGCTGCCTGAGTGGTGTGCATGTCGTTAAAGACCTGGCAATTCCACTGACGTGGCACTACGAATCCCTTCTGTGCAAACATCCGTTCTGGCAGTTCTGCCAGCTGCACTATCCATAAGACTTGCCGTTTGGAACGAGGCTAAGTACTGAAACACACTCGCAATATCTCGCAAGTAGTTCGGTTTGTGAACGCGCAACAAGATTACAGCGGCGATAGTCATGACTGGGAATGCTAAAAGAAAGGATATGCCTTGCACGCTGTCAGTCAGTCAGTCAGTCTGTCTGTCAGTCAGTTGTGATCAATGGCAAACAAAGGCAACATAAACTTATAAACAATCCTTTAAGATCAAATAATGCCAATAGAACGATATAGAAGGACTTTTAGGGGAAACAGTTCTCGTCAGTTTTTCCTTCAAAGGCAGCGTTTTGGAGACACCACCAAACAGGTTCTAAAAGTCACAGTTGGAACCACCTTGATGCGCGAATGGACCTGTTCCATCACACCTGGCAAAATCCAGCACGGACGACGTGGTGACCAGCTGCCTGCTTCACAGTGGCCAGCTGCTTCCCAATGCTCACCACCGCGCCCTCCACGTCTGTGACATGCTCTGCGCCCTGCCGGAAATTCTGCTCCAGCGATCCGACCTGCGGGCTCGCATGCAGCCCTGGCTGTTTTCGGGTCAGAGGGTTTCACGTTTCAGGATGTTTAAGTCTATACCTAGAACCCATTTGACCTCTGCTTTGATAGGAAAAGACCATGTTTTGGCTCCAAAACAGGGGTCAATCAGGTTCTAGCTAATTATAGATCGAAAAGTCCATGCTTTCTAAAGCCAAAAACACATGTCTGCTAGGATTGGAGGGTATTTTAATTTGTAGTAGACTCTAGACAGCATCATACCAAAACATACCTAGACCTATACGCCTATACCAATGTAATTCCACCTGCGTTTTTACCAATCTGGATATCGCCACGAACCTCTCCTTGACTCTTGAAGTTACATCATCGCTGCATCTCAAGGTACCAGTGCAAAATCACAAGTGTAGGAAACACCTTTCAGAAAACATCCTCCAAAGGTATTTGCTTTCAACCACGCTCATTGCTTCATTGACTACCTGCCATGCTTTAAAAAAAAACAGGTTGCCTGTGCATTGTTTCAAAGCGCCTTTCCCTTCAAGGAGATCACAACATCACCCAAGCGCTGCACGTCCTCGCTGCACACCTTCTCCTTCAATGGATCGACAGCCGAAGCACCAATTGACCCACGGTGATCCCTAAAGAACTCTGTGAGATGAATAGGTTGGGGGTACAATTCTTGAATGAACAGTGGAGATGGTCAAAGCTGATGCGAGAGCCGGTATTCAAGTGCATTCTATTCTCCGAGTCGTTTCCGAATTCAATCTGCATGGTGAAAATTCAGCCAAATAAAGAAGCCACCATTCATCCCAATCGCTTCATCAAATAACATTCACCTGCTGTCTTCCCCATGTGTTCCCACCCTGTCCAATCCAGGATCCCATGGATGGATCCGATCCCCACCTGCAGGTTGTGCTCCACCGTGGCGACCTGGCCCTTCAATGTGGTCAAGGCACCTTCCAATCCCTGGCGATCGGAGTCATCTCTGGCGACTTCGTTTCTGTTACTACACCCAGACAGAGATCCAACATGGAACCTGATGGCATGGACCTGCAAGGAAGACGAGCTTCCTCCACAACCCCAGTGGTTTTCAGGTTTCATCTCAATCTTTGCACACGTACCTTTTTCCCATGTTTCTTGTTCTGTGTTTCAGTCGGAACCAGAAGTCTTTGAAGGTGCCCAAGTGTGATCAACTCTGTGGTCTTGGAATCAGCAAAATATTGGCTTACTTGAAACATAGTAGCTTCTACAAGTGGAGTTGTTATTTTCACAGGATACACAGACTCAGCAACTCCGCAAATCATTGTCGCATCCCTTAGAAGCCTTAGCGTCAAGGTCTCGCCTGCACACAGTCCATGCCTTCCCATACGCCACGCTCGATGTTGCCCACCTGCCAGCAGTTCTGTTGCAATGAGGGCTTAGCCCCAAAGCTAACAAGAAGCCTAAGCTTGACCATCAGCTTCCAGAAACAGGTGGATCCCCTGCGGCCCTTCTATATAGCCTCCAACACAGGCTCACAGGCCACCTAGTTCCAAGAGTGTACCTTCTGTGACACCTATCAAATGTGAGGCAAACCCTCAAAAACTTGCCTTCTGTATTTGCACTTCTACAT